CAACCAGCTCATCCCTGCCAAAGACACTGGCCCAAAAATGCTCTGGTGGCCCCAGTCACGCACCATTGCCAAAGTCCTTCCTTCCCAATGGATAGCAATTTGGGTTTTGCCCCCTGCTAAATCCCAAACCACTTATCACCCCTGCAGGGCAATGTGTGATTTGCATGTTTTAACTGTATGATTTCTCTATTCTTGTACTACACACAAATATGGTCCCTCCTGGAAGAGCCAGGATAACTATTACGCTTGTTGGTATTTCTACTTGAATTTGCTTCCTATTCACATGAAAGATGAAGAAGAGTGTGTTGACTTGCCAGACTGTGGTTTCTTTCCTATGTGAGACTGACTTATATGCTAGGCAGTAAAAATATAATCACATTTCTTCCCACTTTAGGATTCATTTCATCGTAACAGTACACCTACAGTTTGATTTTTTACATTACGATGCATCATTTTCCCAAATCTTTGCTAATTAATACATTCTGAAACTAAGCCATGCTTCTCTTTCCATCTTAGATCTCTTGTCTTTCCTTCTCTATGAACCTTATTCACAGGGGGCAAGGCCTGGCTTCACCGAACGAGGCCTGGCAAACACGGAGGCAGGAAACACAGGGGAGAATGAGTCTGTCAGACTCATTTTCTTCTAGGTTTTACTGCTGAATGTTTATTTCAGATCTGGGAGGAAGCACAGTGGCTCCATTCCATTTCCTTGCCTGCATAACCCACTCAGCGCAGAGCCTCACAAATTCACTTTTCACTTTCACTGCATCAAGGAAATAAAAATGGTTCTATAGTCACAACACAAACTTTTTTTTTTTTTCCAGCCCTCACATTCTTTGCTTATTTATGTTGTCACCACACTGAACTCGAGGGTTAGGCCTTTATGCTATCAGAAAGCAAAATTCATTGATGCTTTGCTTTTCTTTTTTCTCCCATGTGCATGTTTGGTTCTGTTTCACCCACTTTGTTCAGGGAAGTGCCATTTCTGCAACACACTGGCAGATGAGGCTCCCTGTGCAGACAATGCAACTCCCTTTGCAGCCATCCCTAAAAACCCCTTCCACAGAGACTCCACAGAAAAACCCTCCACCTGAAATAATGCAATTGATAAAGCCTGCCTGCTTTTTCACTTTCCCAAAGACATTTTTTGCTTTTCAGGAGAGAAGGGAGGAGTTTCCTTGGAACCTACTGAGCGCTCTGAGCGAACTGGCTCGCTCCAGGCGCAAGGCTGCTACGCCTGCTTCACCGCTTTCCTCCTTCTGACAGTAGTACTTTCAAATGCCAAATGGGGAATATTAAAACACTAAACTGAAAGATATTCTGATGAGTTTACTATTAAATGATAACAGATGGGGCTGTCCTAAGCTTTAGGCATCAGGAACGAAGCCCAATTTTAGATACAAATTAGTTATTGAGAATATTCATAGATGGTAAACTCCTTGGGCACATGAAGCAGCCCTGTGAAATTACAGTGCAAATTAATTGCTTGCCTTTCAACTGTTAGAGACACACGGATACATTGTCTCATCTGTGCGGGAGAACTTCCAGTGCAATCCAGTACTGGATGTAACCTCACTTCACAACATTTCAGAGCACCTAGCTGTTCCTCCTAAGCTTCCTGGTAGCAGGATGGCAAATGGAAATAAGCTGAGGAGGGATACATGGGGGATCATTGTCGAGCCATCATTGTGCCTCGACAAGCGCTTTCATCAATTAAACTGTAAAAAATATTTTCGTCTTAAAATAGTACTGGGTTCCCTGATGATGACAGCTTTGGATCTATTAGGTGTGCTGTTATCCACCAGCAAGTGAGAAATGGCACTGAACTGAATTTCAGAATAATTATCTGCTCTTCCTCCAAAGCGCGAAGTGAATGCTACATCTGGAAGAAAAAAATGGAAAGGGGGACAAAAGAAAAAATAACTAGAAAAAAAGAAAGAGTGGCTGTAAAGGTCACAGTGAAAGGAAACAAAACACTTCCTCCTGAATATATTTTTCATTGAAACGTAATATCAGAAAACTGTGCAGAGTCATGTACTTTTTGCACACAACATTGTATCAAATTAAAATTTGTTATAACCATCATGTACGTTAGGTTAGCGATAACAAAAATGTAACTCAATATCTGGCATAAGGAAAGAGCGAGCAACCTGAATATCTATACAGTCATGTTAAAACTGAGCTATGACACTACTGTTGGAAAACACCAAACCAAGCAGTTGGGTGTTGTGATCCTTCTAGAGCAAATATCTGACTGTATCAAACAGCAAATCTCGAAGGAAGTCTCTGTGATGAGGTAATTTTATTGCTCATTCATAGTGCCTTGCATTTGCTGTACTTAAAATAGACATTTGTACCAACGGCCTTTTTATTATCCGAGGGGGGGGAATCACATATACACCAGTCTTTTTTCTTTCTGCTAGCTAAGGGAGGCAATTCGATCCAATGTGGGCTGAAACCTGAGTAGGTCACTGTACACCATGATAAAATTCCCTAATCCCTGAGCCAAATTTCCCTGAGGGGGCCCTCCTACTTCTCCTTCACTTTCCAAGCTGACTTTTCCATTCCCTCTCTCCTCTTTTCCTCCCCTTCATCTCTTTCATTTCCCCTACCTTAAAGCCTTGATATCTGATCTGCTGCTGATACTCGGGTTACAGTTTTTACAGCTTAGGCTGTCTACTGCTGTATACATTCCTTTCTTTCTGCTCTGCCGTGATTACTTACCAGAGCTTATTTTACACTGGTCCAGATGAAAGCAGTTCAGATGAAGGGAAACAGTCGCCTGTTTGAACATTACAGATACGAACCTACACAAGGGCACATTGTGCTCCCTCTGTCATTTCACTGCAAACATTTTGCACACTGTAAGCAATTTGTTACATTATTGTATTCCTTGGGTTTATGAAGAACAACTAGACATCTTAATTCATTGGTAAAGAAAAAGGGTAAATGATCACCACAGGATTTAAACTTTCTCAACCGGTCAAAAAGTCAAACCACTTTTTTTTTTCTCCCCCACCCTTTCCCCTTCTTAGGTGATAGCAGCCAACTGTCCTACTAAAAATGCATAGCATATATAGCATAGTTTACATTGAAAGGTAGGCTATGAAAGGTTCTGCCATCAGCTGTCTCACTCTCAACCAGAAATTACATGTGTTCAAAACGCCATTTCTACCCGCCTTTAGTTTTGAAGTCATCTGAAATCTTGAGGTTCCCAACCTTAAGGAGCCACGCATGATTAAAAAAAGAGAAACTCTCTACTCAAAGGTTAATGCCAGTGCTTAATACCAAAGCATTAGTTTAAAATTATGTAATTTTTCTCCTTCACACAATGTTGTTTTTGTTTCTTCCTCACCCTTTCAGACAAACATCTGCTATACTGTAGAAGAACAACTATCTCCCAAACCGCTGAGTGTGCCTGCAGCCAAAGTAAACAAAACAAACCCAGAGGATCCAGCACAGTCAGCCTTTATATCCAGCCAGGATAACATTTCACATGTTTTGATTAAAATTAGCTAATTTGTAATTCTAGAACCAATGAAACTTAAAAGCTGCAATCCATATAGATCACATTAGGCGATGCTCTGAGGGGCCAATGTCCTGTACTACAGACCTCTGCAGTCCTCAAAATTATGTGGGATTACAACGAGCAATGACTCTCCGGTGCCTGCACAGAGCCCTCTCTGAAAATAGGATGTGTCACATATCTCACAAAGAATAATACCACTCCTCTGGACTTGAAACTACTACAGATTGTTTCCAAAAAGATGCATCGACACATTATTTTGTTCATTTCCCCAATACTACTCTTGTCCACATTTCCAGCTGATGTACACACAGAACCGTGTACACGTTCATTACTCAGGCAGCAGGAGCAAGAACGCCTGTTTTAGGCAGGAAAGGGCACCTAACTGAAATTAGTGGTGTGCAAAAGAGGGGAGAGAAGAGGGGACTGTGCATTCCAGTTTAATTTTATGTGGGGAGACCAATGTTCCAGAAAGCAAAGATATTTTCACTAGGCATCATGCATATTTATACACCCGGCTATATAGTGTACATACTATGAGAACGTGTGACATTTTCCAGGCAGTCTTCCACTTACAATCAGCCTTTTAATAAATGACATATTCAAATTAAATCTCAGCAGCTTTATCTCGTAGCCAGACTATGCTGTTTTAGTCACTTTATCTGCGTATTTAACAACAACAAGTTCAGCTGAAGTCTCGCAATACATCGTTACCAACTTTGGGGAATTAGAGAGGTAAAACAAACAGACATGGAACAGACGAGGAAAACAGGCGCAAAAAATAGACTGGTCGAGCCTAGAGCAGCGACCTAATGATAAAAAGTCCCAGAATAACGTTTTTGTGTGATCGCAGCCATCCCAACATCTGGAGCGGCCGCCAGAGCACAGCTGGATTAGCACCCGTTCCCATCGGGCAGGACGGCCCTCCTCATGGTAAATACACTTCCATCAAAAACAGCCCTCGGACAAGGCACCTTCCAGCGACACCTCTGCGCTGCCATGAACCGCGGAGTGAAGCGGTACAGCAGAGAAGGAGGCGAGAGGGAGAAGGAGAGAAAAGGGGTCTCCACGCTCAAGTGCGAGACTGATGCGCGGCTCAGACCGCAACGTTTCACTTTGACAATTTAATTACATAGTTGCAGCTGGCTATTGAAAAAGGAGAGAAATACAATGTTTAAAAGAGGTCCCTTTCTTTCCCAACTTTAAGGGCTTCCCAGCTACCTGAGGGGATGGCTATAGAAAGAAAGAAAAAAAAAATAGGCTCATCACTGGCACCCGAGGAGCTTAAAAGCCCAATGAGGGAGAGTTATTTTTAAAAAATAAATAAAGCTGGTCAATGAACAGGATTTGCAGCCTGTGAATTCGTCTCTGTTTGCAGCCCAGGAGGCGGAGTTGAGACACATTCAGTGCATCCTACAAAAAAAAAAATGACAAGAGATCCTTTCTTATTTCATCTCCATGCTCGGAGGCGGGGGGGGGAGGCGGGGGGGAACCCCGCTCCCGTCCCCATCACAGGCACCTACCTTCATCTCCTCGTTGATTTCCCGCTTCACTGGGTGAGCCGGCTTCCTGCTCCTTTTATTTTCGGGAGGTCTCCCTTCTTTCTCCATTTCTGCCATTTTTTGCGCCTACTTGGTGGTGGTGGTGGAGATGAAATGGCTGCTGGTGCTCTGGGGGGGCCGGGAGGGGCGCGGGGGGGCGGCGGCGGCGGCTCTCAGTGGTAGCAGGCGGCGCCGCGGAGGGCCCGGGGGGAGCGCGGCGGCGGCGGGCGGGCGGGGGTCGCGGGCGGGCAGGGGCGCGGGTGCCCCGGCGAATCAGCCATCTTCTGCCTCGCCGCCGGCCCGCATGGGAGCGGCGGGGCGGGCAGGCGGGAGGCAGCGCGGAGCGAGCCGGCCCCGCGCCTGCTGTGGCGCTGCTGGCGGGCTGCCGCGGAGGGGGCGGCGGAGGGAAGGGGGAGGCCGGCCCCGGACCGCCGGCGGGCGGGGCTTGCCGGCACCGAATCGGCCGCCGCTGCCCGCCATGGGAGCCGCGGAGGGGGGAGGCGCCGCGCCGAGCACCGGGCGGAGCGGAGGGAGAGGAGCGGAGTGGAGGGGGCGGCGCGCACCCGCACCCGCCCCCAGCCCGGATGCGGGAGGGGGATCGTGTACCCCCCACGCACACCCGAGGGGTCCCGTCCCGTCCCCGCCACCTTCAGCCGGGGGTCTCTTCGCCCGATTACTCCTGTTTTTCCCTTTATCTGCGCAGGGGAGGTGCGGATGAATGGTTTGGTGGGACGCGCTTCAGCGAGGAGGTGCCGGGTTACAACGCACACTGGGGGCGATACATTGATTATTCCAGGGCTGTGCTTTCCCGCTTTCCCTGGCAGTCCCTCATTACCCGGTACAACACAGTACGGCGCGGGGGTGTCCATTGTTCCGTTAGTCTAAATTGTAATCGTGCGGGGCTTCTCGTTATGACTGCGGTACACCCTAAAATGATACATTTTTTATAAAAGCACCCAAACCCACAGTCGAAAGATAAACTGCGTTCCATGTGGATATGAGTGGGCTCCCCATAAAAATATCTGTTTAGCCTGTCAAAGACAAGTTCGTTTTGCGTACAACAATGTCTGATTTACATTCTCTGTTTCCGAAGCTTTAAATCACTGGCACTTTTCAGCACGAAAAGTTGAGCACAACTTTGCTCATTTCGTGACTAAAATGAGCCTTGCCTGCCTGCTTCAGATGGCAGAGCGATTAGAGACACGAGGCACATTTTCCCCCGGGACGCTGAAAATAAGAAGAAATGGGGTTTTTTGCATAGTCTTAGCTGTTAGAGCATCGAGCATCAAAAGTGAGATAGCAATCGGATTGTCTGTAAAATCCTAGAGCGCATCCGGTAAGGTCACGGCTGCTGTGAGACGAAGGTGATGCCGCTCCCCTCACTGCCTGAAAGAATCAGGCAGATGCTGGGAAAAAAAAGCCTTGATCGTTTGTTTTCGCAGAGCAGCAGGACCTCGCAGAGACCCTCGAGAAGGCTCTGCTGGCAGTGAAGAGCTGCAGGAGTACAGCTGCAGCAGGGCTTGCGCTGTGGGCTTTGTCCATTCTGCGAACCCCAGGAACACAAGGTCTGGGCTCAGACCCACCAGCAGCAAGTATGAGAAGAAACGAAGGTTTATTTTTTTCTTGCTTATAATATATTAAAATACAGTGATCTCTGAAACTTGTGGAAAGTAACTTGTGCCTACAGGTAATCTCCAAAGGATAGTGCTTAGTAGGGAGGTTTCCCTCCCGTGCCCCACCACCAGCAGCAGCAACCTCACCTCTGTTTTGTTCACCGTATTCTGTTACAAATGAATTGGTACAGTTGAGCTCTCATCAAGTACAGAAGATATTCCCATTAATCTCAATGTATTCTTTCATACAATAGGGATAAGACAGGCAGCACAAGGGGAAGTTGCTTTTAAACACAATCTCACATGGCTCTTTGAAACCTTTGGCTGGAAAAGGCAAGCCAACTTTAGACAACTATTCTGCATTGAATGGCCACCACACTGCTGATAAATCCAGTCATTCAAGTGGAAAAGGCAAAATTAATTCTTGTATTAGACATATTGATACAGTTCATACAGTTTCTCTATAGAATGGATAGAAGAATTTTAATGAAAACCTTAACTTTACTCTGCTTAAACAGAGTATTACCTCAAATGGTTCTTGTTCAGTGAAACATCAGAAGACTACCTCTCAACACCTACTATGTATATTGTAATAAAGCACTGTTTGGCGGCATAAATTTAACAGGTTTGAGTTGACAATCTATCAAAAAGATTAATCTCAAACTCCCAGCACAAACAGAACTTCCTTTAACGTTGGAAGATACTTTGGAGAATGTATTTGCAAGCCTGGATAATGTGAATTGACTTCAGTAGGTTATAGTGAGTAGACCAAAATTAATGTCTTCAGCACCAAATCTGTCAGTCCAGTTTTCCTGAGTAACATCTGCCAATTTTGTTGCAAATTGAAGCACTTCACACCCCCCTTGCTACCAGTTCTAAATGCCGTTTCTCACTTGATCACCAAAAGTAAAGTAGTGGCTTTCAGATAGGGTTTTTTCACAGTATTTTTCTGCATACTTTTGAATGGAGATGTGAACTTATTTCTCTTAACAGTAGGCTCATTTTCTCAGCTCTTCAAAAAGAACCTCCAATCCCCCAGTATCTCATCAACCACCAGATGAAAGCCACAGTCTTAAAGCATATCCTGTTTTTCTCAGTATTTAATATAGGATTGGGATGGATACAAAAGTTCTACCTCTCTGTCCTAATAATAATATCTCCATCTGACAGCAGGTTATTTCTGCAACTGTCACGATTCCTGCTTTTCTAGAGGTTGTTATTACCTTTACATATTACATATTATTACACTGCAGAAGTGTTGTTCTTCTAGTGATAGCATATGGAGGACCATCAACTGCCAACAGAGAAGTTCATGCATTTAGAGCGCTCAGATGTTATCTGACACACATTGGAGGTACTGAAATAAGTTTTGGAAACCATCTAATTATTCCACTTGTTACTAGGGAGGGAATGACCAACAAAAAGGAATGCTTTCAGATTTTAATGGTAGCTCATGAATTCATAAGGGGAGGCAGAATATCAAAATTTATGGAAGCCACAAATTTGTCAGCCATACGATGGCACTGATTTGAACATCTCCAAAAAGCTATGAGAAAATAAATCTGGTATTTACATTACCCTAACATTAAATACATTTACTGAACTGTGGCAGCACGTATTTCTTGTGAAAACCTGTCATTTTGGTAAAGAAACCTGGTTCAGTAGTTCTCAGTATGGATTCTGCAAACATCTTAAGCAGGTAAATAAAGGTGACTGATTGGAACAACAGAACAGCTCAGATTTGTTCTACCTGACAGAGATACCAGGGTATGTGGTATCAATAAGCAGTTTGCAGCCAAAGATGAAATCTCGGTCCTGTGGGAATCAGTGAAGATTTTACTCTTGAGATTAATGAGACCAAATTCCATGTGAACTTTCCAGGGTGATTTTAAATCAATCTGTTAGAGTGCATGCTCTAACCACAGTGCAACAGAGAAAGTTACTCATTGTCTTGGCGTTTCAAGGGTTTGAAGCTGGTTGGTTTTTTTTGTTAGCTCACTGGCCACTTTCAAAATTGGGAAGAAACTTTGGGATTCTGCCTTTCAGTAGTCTGTAAGTCACCTGCAAGCCTGAGGTTCAGGACCCTGCTGTGTCTGAGTCATGGCAAGAATCTGAGCTTTTCCTTCCATTGCCCAAGCACATGTTTTACACCCAAGGCACCTTGCCAACCATATTTTTGTTCTTTGCATTTCCAGCTCTGAAATTGCACTTGGATTTTTGCAAGTACGGTACTTTGAACTTCCGAAAAACAAATATAGTTCATAAAATGACAGGTGCAAATGAGTTGCCTAAAATAAATCATCCTGAGTTTAATTTATATTCTATTATTCATATGCCTATTTATTAGTATTTACATGTTTTAAAAGGGTACCTACCCAAGCACCAGAGCCGATTTTTTAGATAACACAAAAGCAACACTTTGCCAACAGTTCTTCAATTTGGTTTTCATTAATGTATAAGTCTCTTTAATATTATTATTGAGATATTTCTTCTCGATTTTGCCTGCTGGAGAGGATGAGATAAACAAGCAGGCCTGATTTTTCCAGCTGGTAAATATGTAAAGCGGCACAACGCCTTCAAAGCGAAAGGTTTTAGGAGGCAACGGCAAAAAACAAACGGCGCTCTGGGAGCACACTGGAAACAACGTGACGGTTTCAGAGGCAAAATCGGGACAAGCGGGGTCATTCCCGGAGCCGCGGTGCTGCCCAGTGGGAGGCGGGAGCGGCGGGCGGGCGAAGGGGCCACGGCCCCGGCGCCGCCGGCCCGAGGAGCAGCATCCCTGCATCCCAGCGGCCGCGGCGAGAGCTCCCCCTCCTGTCCTGCTCCTTTTCAGCATGGTGGGAAACGCATCATGAAGCCTCGGACACCGAAATGTGTTTAAGCACCAGTCTGCGTGCGTTTATGCACGTATAAACCCACACGTACACTCCCACACACGGGGGAAAGCTGATGGTATAAAGGGAGGCTGTTCTCTCTTTTTTTTTTTTTTTCTTCCCCAAGTAACAGCCCCAGACGTTGCAGGCCAAAGGAAAGGTGCGGCTCATAACTGGGTTCTTTTAATATTGCTGATAATTTACCTTATTATTCCCTGCTTGCCAGGGTGTTGTCAGCTCTCCATCAGGTTGCTTAGTGATGTCAGTCAGAATGGAAAACATATGTCTATGCATTCTTTCACCTGTATCTGAGGGGAAGCCATAATAAACAGCAATTTAAATTCAGGTATTTGGTTTGCTGGAGTGTTTAATTAAACAAAGAAATTCATTATGTCTGTTCACAGAAAAGTTCCGTTATGCCGATTTTTTTTCGTTTGACTTGAAGTGGAGATGTTCCTCTGACTTTTTGTATAGCATGCTCAGGTGATAGATTATTTGTGCCATTAGAAGCAAATAAATGCACTGAATAATTAAAAAATTGGCTCCCAATATTTGGGAGGTTTTTTTAAGTGCACCCAGCCATTTTTGTACACATGGAAAACATATATGTGAACTTCTCCCTTGCTTCAGTTCCACCCAATCCCCACTTCCACTTCAGTGATGTTTTTTCACCCATACCTTTGAGAAGGGGCACATTCCACTCGTTCCTGAGCTTGGACGAACGCCCACAGCATTACTCACACACAGTAGTGTCTGTAGTTTCCTTTCTGCTGTGGATACTAATCTCGATCCAGAGTTTTCTTAGACGATTGGAGGCTGTTCTGCAAAACATCAAGAGGTAGCTGCTCCAAAGTAGACACAGTATAGCAGTTGCAATGGGAGCTGTGGTGGCTTTCCAAACACCAAGGTCTGGAAATGTTTGGAGGTATTTTAATATTGATTAATATTTCATTTTTTTGTGCTCCTTTAGGGTATCAGTGTCAAATCTGTACAGTTTAATGGCAAGGCAGAGCCTTAATACTGTTAGTTTTTTAAAGTTCTGGCAAACAGAGAGAAACTATTTAAGTCATGAAATCATTAATAACAATTGCTCTTCTGGCCTGAATCTTCACATAACTTGATAAACAGAAAGAAATGTTAACTTGTTGCTCTGATTTTTTTGTTAAATATTTTCAAGTCTTCTGTTACAATGCATTTCTTTTTCTTGTTTAGTTTCTCATGTTCCCCACACCAAAAGTAAGCAAGAAGAAGTCTTTAGCATCAGAAAACACCCACACCATTAAAAATCAATCAATATTAAACCTTTTAAAAGGTAGCAATGCATTAAAAACCAAATTAGTAAAAATATGCCCTGGACACCAGTATTGACTTTGGGGAAAAATCTTTATCATCTGTCTACTGCTACGCTCTATCACTACGGTTATTCAGTGACTCTTCTGTGATGCTTTCATACTAAATATAATGCCAAAGATCAGGTAGAAGGAAATTAAGGACACACGGATGAGCAAGAAACTTAGATGCATTATAACTTTGCTGTGACAAACTATGGGTTTACATCCTCTAGACTCCATTATGATCAAGGCCTATACCTCAGAATGAAATGAATCTTTTCAGAAGAGATTTTGTGAATCTTTTGAAGGTCCATTTGGCCCAAAACAGTGGTCTGCTTCCTCTGTCATACAGGTTGATAAGAGCATATACCAAGCCCTACTTTCTTAAGGGCTTCTTCTTTCCTTGTGGCTGATACCCAGAATTCTGACCTGAGATACCCTTCTACTCTCTGTGTGCTGTGCTCCTGTTTCTCACATACATTGAAATCAGGGAACTGTCAAAGTTAAAAGCAAAACCAGTGAGAGGTGGAGACTTGTTCCCTCTGTAGCAGTCCTACAGCTGTAAAGCTCCCTCTGAGGTGAACTGAGAATATTTACAGCCAAGGTACATTCATTTCTTCACCTATAATTTTTTTAGAATTACTGTTTCCACCCCTTCCCATTCTTTTACTTCTCCATGCAGTAAAAGGCAGGAGAGAGTCTTGTTGTTTTACTTTATTAAATGTGTAAGTCTACCAGATGCTACAATGACAGAAGGCAAGGGGGAGAAGTTGTGTAGAATTGGGATACAGCAGAAAGTTCTCCCTTCTTTTTAACTTCACTTTTTTTTTAAATAGATTAATTGTGCTGATTCCTGAAAATATTGTTACAGTAATCTACATCAAGTTCTTCCTAAAAGTCATCCCTCGTGTCTTTGTCTTTCTGTGAAGAATAAAAGAATTTTTTGCAATAACAATAACGGTTTATACATTTGCTCTTAATCCTGTATTTCCCCTACGAGCTTTGTTGCATGACATAGTATGTCAGTGTAAGTAATATCTGTCAATGTTGGAAAACAATTGCAGGTTCTTTTCATTCATAAAGTCATTCTGGAGTTTCTTCGTCCTTAATTTTCTTGTCATGCATTCAAAAACATTACATCATTTTGTCTAAATTACCCCCTGCATTGCATATACAAGATACAGTGTGTTATTCGTTTGTTTCCTGGACCCAAAGAAACATGTCAAGGTACTTACACTGACGTATACTAAATGATTTAGACTTGGGTAAAGTTGTGCTTTGACATGTCATTATTTGACAATTGCTCTTCTAGTGCAATGCTTGCTTTTCTGCCAGTAATTCCCTGGAATCCTGCATGGTGTGATTCAATCTCTTGATCTTCTCAGTTATGTTTACATTCATTTTACACATCCTAATACATAGTGGCAATGCCTTCACATTTCTGTGGTGAAAAGTCTGTCAAAAAATCCAAACATATCTTGGGAATGCAGAAATACATTCAGGACTGGGGCACATATTCAGCGAATCCTAGAACAGCAGAGATTGGAAGGGACCTCTGGACATCTCCCTGCTCAAAGCAGAGCAGGTTGGTTCTATGTCCACTCATGTTTTAAATATCTCCAAGCATGGCGACTCCATAGCGTCTCTGGGCTACCTGTTCCAGAATTTGAACATTTTCATAGTAAAAAACCCCTTTTTCTCATGTTTATGTGGAATTCGCTGTATTTCAATTTGTGCCTATGTATCCCTTGTCCTTTCACTGCAAAAAGTCTGGCTCCACCTTCTCTACTTGCCTCCCCCCAGTCAGGTATTTATACACATTGATTGTACATCTCCCTGGCCCTTCCCTTCTCCTAGCTGAACAGTGCCAAATTTCTCAGCCTCCCCTCAGATGTCAGACGCTCCAGTCCCTTTATCATCTCCAAGGCCCTTGTCTGTCCTTGTTCCAGAGTGTCCATGTCTCTTTCACGCTGGAGAGCCTGGACCTTGACTCAGTACTCCAGATGTGCCTCACCAGGGCTGAGCAGAGAGGAAGGATCACTTCCCTCAGCCTGCCAGCAGTTCTCTTCCTAATACACCCCAGCCTTCTTTGCTTTAAGGCTGCACTACTGGCTCATATTTAGCTTGTTAAATGCCAGGGTCCCCAGGGCCTTCTCTGCAAAGCTGCTCTCCAGCTGCTTCCCCACCTGTATTACTACAAATATTGCCCTGATCTGGGTGCAGGATTTTACATTTCTTTGCTGAAATTCATAAGATTCTTTTCAGCCTATTCTTCTGCACCTTATTAAATTTGCTTTGATTTATGATCTTCTAAGTAATCAGTAATACTATTATCTGGAAATATTTCGTTTTCCTGAACTGTGTGGCTTTTCTTAATTAAATCATGCATGTAACATTAATTATAATAATCTATGTCTCTTACCGCCATAACCAAAAATAGATTTTGCTTAAAGACAGTCCTGAGAATCCTTCTCTACACAGATAGGATTTTTTGCCTTAAAACATGATCAGTGTATGTATCTGTCTCCATCCAAGATTCTTGAACTCAAGTGTGGTTATCGATTTCTTTTCACAGTGCTACTAGTTAAAGCAGAATTGACATGTCTTCACCACTTCCTTTCAGGTCACCAGAAGGTGCAGATGGGAGACGGTCACATGCAATTTCCATCCCACCCACACGGCTCAGCAAAGGCTTGCCATGAGACTTCACCTTTGGGTAAGTTCTGGGAGTATAGGGTAAGGAACTCCAATTCTATTAGCATGCATTGAAATCCTGCCCACATAAACATGACAAACCCTGCCACACTGGGGTTTATTCTGAGTATCACTAGAGGTCCCCAGGTGCCTCACCATTCCTGCAAACTGAGGCAGCAATGGCTTGCAGAGCCAAGGCTCTGTATTATTGCTTCCTCCCATCCCCCAGGACAAAGTGAGAAACTGCTTTCTGCACACTGTACGTGTGTCACAGCTAATGTCTCTTGAGCCCTGGTGCAAGGACTGAGGTTTATTGGCTTTGCCTGAACTGCCAACACCAAAACAAGGTCCAAGGCGAACTTCAAAATGTTTTCACCCATACAATTAGTTGGGGTCTTTTTGTCTGTTGTCAACTAATATTACAACTGCCAGTTAGTATTACAGCTATTTTGCAGATGAGAAATAATCAGGAGAGAGATAAAGTGACAAAACACATGTACTTGAAGAGACTCGTGGCCTCAACTAGAACTCAGCTCTTATGCCTTATAGGACAGTCCTGTCACCATTAGAACATGTAATCTAACCTTCTTGGAAAAAAATGAAATGTGAGCCTCCCTTTGAACCGGTTTGACTTTGAGCTCCCTCATGAAACACTGATGACCTTTGAAAGAACACAGGGATGGCACCATAGACAGATTTCCCCTCAGTTGGCTGCAAATAAAGTGATTTGAAATAACTGCCAAAGCTGTAATTTATCAGGCTTTTTCACAGATTCCACAAAAGCAAGGAAATTCGAAATTGAAAGGCTTTCTCCAGGCAAACATGTCAGGCATTTGTGCATGAATTGCAGGAGAAGACACGATATGTTTCTTTTAGGGCTGTTGTTGCCATCGCGGTAAGCGAACAAGCATCTGTGCTTCGGAAATCAGTGGATGGAAGGTGTTCCGTGAAAAGCAGCATGTGGGAAAGCAGCTTAAAATGGTGAGAGTGTACAAAAGTAGCAGGAGTTCTGAATGCCATTCCGGAGAAGAACTGGAACAAGGCTGACACATAGAAAGGTGGCGAGAAAGCAAAAAGAAATGCAAAGAGGAGTACACTGAAGAAAAAAACCCGCCCACTTCTGGCTAGAGAATAGGTCTGAGCAAATTCCAAGAGAGGAACAGAGAAAGAGGAAAAATTAAAGGCCAAAACGGAAGTGTAGGTGCAAAAATCCAAAACGGATTGTGCAGGTGAACATGTAAGTTAAAGTTTTGGTATGTTTTATTGTGGAAACAGATACAAAACTGAAAATCAGATGTCCCAGTAGGACTCCTGATGTAGCAAATATGTATTTATTTATAGTACACAAAACCGGTAAGATGATTCTCCTCTGTAGCAATTGCCACCAATACTGAAAAAATGGCAAGATTCACATTTAGTAGTATTTTTTTCACAAGTGGTGCTTACCTTAAATCACCATATGTAAGGGTTGCACTGCCAGTCCTAAGGTTCTTAATTTCACTCCAGGGCTGACAATTTCCTATGTCACTACACTGTGAAGCTGTATCCAGAATAACAATTTAATACTTGAGTGCCCAGAGCCAGGCAGATGTTTTGCATAAAAGTGTTCTCTGGTGCTTGTGGAGTGCCTGCAGCTCCCCCCAAGAGGTGGTGGGTGATAAGCACCTCTGAAAAACAGGTCACTGTCACTCAAGAGCTCAGAAAGGAACTGAGGCGCCGAAGTTTAAGGCTAAACTTACAAGTAAGTGACATCATTGTGGAAGAGTGGGTCTCTGAAGGACTGCCATGCTTTCGGTCATTTGAATTTTGGCATGTAATAGGCATGCATTTGTAAATCAGATGCCTTTATAGCTTGTAACATCCTCCAGAAATGAGGATAAAAAAAGAGGGAATTAGAGAGGAAAGAAGGAAGATGAGGGGAATTAATAAAACAGAAATGGATGGAGATGTATTCAAGGTTCTTTTAGACTAGCTTGAGCATGCCTCATTGGTTCTCAATGCAAACTATCAGTTAGGAGGCTTAAAATAAACATAATAAAATGGGGATTCTTCCACGTAATGCACACTAAAACTGTGGAACCCATGTCCACAGGATGTTTGGGGGAAAAAAAGTCTAAACAGCTTCAAAGAAGAGCTTAGAAGAGACAGACTTGGAAGATCTGGGAAATAGCTCCATTTTCATTTATTAAACATGATAGACTTGATAGGGCATCTGGCTCAAGAAGCCTCTAAAATGCAGTCAGGTGGGAGCTGGACTGACATACCACAGGACATATTTCTCTGTACTTGCTTGATTTTTCATTCTATTCCCTTAAGCATTTCCTACAGGCTCTTATGGGAGATGGTATACTACTGCAAATGCTCCTTTAATCTGACTCCATACTCTTATACTCTATTTTGCATTAGTAGCTTACGACTTCCCTTCTATAGGTTACTTAACTGTGCTGGCCTAGATCAAGTTTTCTTCCTCTTATCCTCCTGTAGCAGCGACTATGATTTCTATAATGTCCACATATTAACTATTTTAGAGCACGTACTGAAGAGGAGGGCAGGCATTTTACATACAGGAATTAAAGGGAGAACAGATGCAAGTGAGTCGAGTGCCAGGTAACTATAAATGAATCACCTCTGGTACCCTGAGATTCATCACTCTTCGCCTCCAATGGATTGACATCAGGATAGATTCAAAAGCAGAGGGAATAGTTCTGGCAAACCTATATTTAACAGAAGGCTTTACCTAGACTGGGGGAAAGTGTGTTGATAGTACAGTATAACACAGATTAATACCTTCTAATTTCCCCAAAGCCATGTAATTATACTTGAAATAGATTATTTTGGTCAGAATTATGGAATTACAAGGATAGATTCAAACAGTTTTGTTTAACTTGGGGTTTCTAACTCAGATTGAAAAACCATTTTCTTTATCATCCAGGTTCACTTTCATATATCGAGGCTTGGTTCCCAGACTGGCATTACTGTCCACCTGGTAGCAAGGCAGCGAGTGGGCACAGAGGGAGAAAAGTCCCCTAGAAAACTGTTCTCTCAAGTGTTCTGGGCTTTGAAGTTGATCAGTAAACAGCAAGCCAGTGTTGAATCTCTGGTGCAGAGCACTCGTGCTGTGCAGAACTGCTCAGGGAGTGGGTAGTGGCTTTCTTGGGAACTGGATCTTTCAGGCATGCTTCAAAGGGGACTCATAAATAGAAAGGTACAGAAACTCAGGTGGACGTAACAAAGGCACTGGTGACTTCTGCAAAGTTTACTTCAGAGGAAATGTGCAGCCAACCTTGGTGGAGAATACATACCTTCCACCCTCATAAAAAGAGAATGATAAAAAAGTGAACAAACCCAGCCCTACTAGCAGGAAGAACATTTAGTATTACATCTGTGTTTTGATTATGTATGTGAATAGCAAGCAGCAAAATATAAATAACACTTCATAAATTACGTATGTTTAGTCCCTGAGAAGTAAGCACTTTAATGGAGAAATCTTTCCATTTATTTATTTAAATCCATGTAAAATGTGCATGTTGTGTATGTTTGCCAGTTTCCTGACCATTATAGGTCTTTAATCCCTGGGTTCTATCATTATTTAGTAACTATTACATCATTTAGGTAGAGTTTTGCAACCAATTTTTCACATAACATACAAAATCCTAATTTTTTTTCTGCAGGACCCTCCCAAATCACATCTTCTATGATTTTAAGGGATATGAGATGAAAAAAAAATCCATAGAAAATCTACAGATTTGTGAGGTAAATTACTAAACAGAGTTTAGTAATGGGCACATAGGTAAGCCTTTGTTCAGCATGGCTGTCATTTCGCTCTTGCCCAAAACATGAACTCCTTAGGCAAGAGATCATTTCCTTTGTTCTGGTTTTGATATGTGTCTGGCTGGAGTTTTCCACTGCTACTAGTGTTCAATTAAATACAAATAATAAATAGTTAATGGGTTGCCAAGCTGCAGAGGTGGGGCTAATCAGCTGAGGCTTCATGGGGTAGTTAATGATGGATTAGGAATGGGCGAACTGATAAAGCTGAATATTTAAAGGCTAATATTGTACAGGATGATGGATGCTTTGTCAGCTTCGATTGCGTATGACCAGAACTAACAATGTGCTTATCTTCCTCCTCCTTCTTCTGTAGATTACTTGGCTCCAAATCGCTGCTGTTTTGAGAGTCTCTGTCCAAATTCCCCTGAGTGGGATTCCGCCTGTCAGAGGAAATGGCCTAAGAGGCTGTCTTACAATTGAAATTGGGTTGGGAGGTGAAAAAACAGTGACTCTACGAAGGAGGGGTGTGATCGGCTGCACACTTGTCTGCCCCTGCTCATACTCAGCTTGCTGAAATGGAGCGACTTCAATTGATTTTGCTATTTTTGCAGTGCTGCCTGACGAGCCAGTGAAGAGGGAACTGTGTTCTGTGAGAAAGCAGCATGGGAGGGGCATGTCCCACTGCCTGTGCTGCACTGCTGGGAGCTACCCGGAGCTTTGGCTTCTCATCTGCGCTGTGCACCGATGAGCTGCTGTATCACTGTGTTTTGTGTGCAAAGGGTAACATACACCTACTCTGTCAAAGGATTCCTATATATCACATCAATATTTATTTATTTGTTTTAAACAAAAATAGTTATGCATTTGTTATTTATTAACCAGCATGTTCTCATATTGGCATACTTAGGCTTAAAAATTAATAACTTTTAGTGTAAAATTCTGTGCAAGGGACATGACTCCTACTGAAACCAACTGATGTTAAATGTGGTGTTTTTTCAGCATCTAACTATGGGATCAATAAGGCCTTCATCCTTGTCGGTAGTCTGTCAGCTGGTAGGAAGACAGGCAGCCTTGTAGACAAGACACAGACAAGGAGGTCAAGAGAAGTGGATTCTTTTCTCAGTTTGCCTTCGGGCTTTTGCAAAGCCTTGGACAAATCACACAACCTCTCTGCTAAACCTCCTGACTTCCAAAATGGAAATGAACATAACTGTCTGCTTCCCAAGGATGCTATGGAGTAAATCAATTCTCAGAGAGGGGGGAAGGGAGGGGAAGGAGGTGTGTGGGAACAAAAACTACCTGGATGCTTTGGAAGGAACAGACATATTTCTGTTAGTATGCATTTTTGTAAACAGCCTTGGAGTGCACCTAAGTATTAACACATTAAAAAATTAAGCAACAGCTAGAGGATTTGGTTATATAGGCAGGGTATAGTTAATAATACATTAACATTGCTAGTCTCATTCTCCTATGGACATAATTCATTTTGGATAAGGCCAGGATAACTACAAAAGATTGAAAGGTCAAACATTCCCAATCAAATGAGAACACTTTGCAATTGTTTTAGTTTAGATGGTAGTCAGAAAAATATTTCCACCTTTCATTTGCTAGAAAAGCTATCCAGAGCTGGCATTAGCAGTGGCTTTGATGTATTCTCTGGTACATTGGTCCAGAGCATGCTGATGTAAACAGAAGTGTCTCTTGACCTGTTATCTTTGTTCTTCAACTTTGATATTTGCCCCCTTCAATAGCTTCTTTCTCCTCCTGGGGAGACTTAAAAAAGTCAATTGATAGAGAAAAGAAAGAGTTTCAGGTTTTTTCTCTGCATAAGACCCTAAAGAAATAGACACATCTATTGTACAGTCACTGAAGCTCTTGAAATAGTGTGGGTTTTTCTCTTGAATCCTGCAGGGAAATGAGCAAAGAAGGAAAAAAAAAAAAAGCATGCAGTTTTGTCCACAACTACGGTAAGTACATCATACTTTTGATACTTTTGCTCCTGATGGTTTTTTTGAGAGAAAAACTGAGAAACTCTGCTTCAGAAACAGGCAGTGCAAACAGTAATGCCTGTGGGTAAGTTGGTCCATCATTGCCCATTATACAACCTTGTTTTTTGATGCCTGTATCTGTCAAATATTAGCTAATTTGTAATGACTTTTTTTCTGTGATTGGTGTGTTAGCCTGAAGCTAATTCTTAAAATAGTTCAGTCAGTTTGCAAAATGACGTTGGCAAAAAAATACATTTTTCTTCCATTAAAAATATCGTTGGGTTGCATGACTGAGAAACTCTCCACGCACTATACCTGAAATTTGGCAAAGGATTTGCCAAGGATTTGATGGGTACCACCCATAAACATGTACAATAAGAAGAGCCCACTATTAGGATGCAAGCTGTGCAGACAAGAGGATGAGTGGAACTTAATGAGCAAAAAATGATGAGGCTGTGACAAGAATGAAAGAGCGGTAGCCTGTAAGGATGGTGTGTAGGACTGAGGTAAAGACATGAGGATGTTAGGAGAAAGAAACCATGAGCATGGTCCAGGAGTTAAAAATGAACTACTGAAGTAAGACTCTTAGGTTCTTAAAAGAAGGGAAAGGGATGAAGGGATTGGACTGGGAGACGGAAAGTCTTTGGGTATTACAGCACAGTCTTTTCAAAGAGTCTCTGTACTCAAAAACTAATAAAAAAAAAGCTATAAAACTCACTGACAAAGTGTTTGCTTTATTTCTCCAGTGATTGCTGCATTTAAAGAACATCAACCTACTGCTGATGAATCCTGAGGAAGCTGTAGTGGCAGTGTGTGGTGTTGTGGATATCAAGGGTCTTTCCCTAGTCCTAAAACATTTGGACTTAGAAGAGTTCCACATAAACTTTGCAGAGGTGTTCAGTTTTTTAGACTAACACAAAGAACAGAAATTTGGAAAAGTGAAAGTCTCACACGTTAGGAGATGGTAGGTTTGCTGCCCATAGAACCCTAATTCTCCTCAGTTTATATGCATTATTTTAAGCAGACTTTAATTGCATAATCATGTTAGTTTTTCACAGAACAGTTACCACATTAAGTGCAAGAACGGATATGGCTCAGGAAATGAATCAAGGAACTTGTCACCATTACAGGATGAGGTGTCTTAGTAGCAACTCTTAAGTGCATCCCTCCGGCAATTTTCATTAACTTTCTGCACAGAAACATGCCACTGCATTCTGTCATTTCTAAACTGTGTTTATGCCCTATTTAGCAACAGTTTGTTCTGCGACACCAGCTAACTAAACTGCCTCAATGGCAGCTCCTTCAAAGCAAAGCTTTATTGTCTCAGTGAACAGGCAGCACAGAAAGCAAAGATTTGACACCAGAACCTTAACTCATATGTCACCTTCCCAGTTCTCACAAGTTCTCTCTATTCTAGTTTTGCCTCTCTCCAGTTTGGGAGAGGACATTTACAAAATGCCACAGGCATGTCCAGTTGTTGTTGACTCCACAGTCAAAGCCTCTTCCCTAGAACAGTACTTTTTAAAGTCTTGGAATTGTCTCAGGCATGAGAACAATAAACACCTTGTCATTGCCATTGAAAAACAGGTAAGGGTGTTCCTTTTTAGTAGCTTCCCCCTTGTAACTCCAAGACTTATTTGCGCTTTCCCCGGACATCTTTATTTGTGATGCAATTGTTTTCTATTTGCATCTTCTTTTACAGTATCCTTCAATGTAACTCTCTTTAATCATATGGAACAGTGCAAACAAAATAAAAGGGACCTGTCTCTTGTATTGATAATGATAAGAAATGTAACACCCTCATTTTTCATGTGAATGTAGTCAATGGGACAATTTTCTCATCAGAACTCTGCCTGATTTGTTGTGACAAAGCCTTGAAGTTATAGGAGGAATGTAAGTGACTGTAAAGACAGAACAGATCGTATTCTTGCTGAAGTATTTGTGGGACTGAGGAAGTTGTTTAAATCCAATTTCTGAAGATGGCCAGTGAGTCTTCCTCCTCTGGGGTACCGAAAATCCAGACTCTGAATTCACAAAAGCTTTGGGTGCAGGTAGCTGCAAAGAGGCATCGTGATGGCTGTGCTCAGAATAAATGAAAAGCTATATGACACACCATGTAGTGCAGACCATACTGTAGAATTGCGGGATTCAGAAGTCTTCAGAATTAGCTGTCAATTTTGATGTTAATTGTTTAGTTGTAAGTACCTCTTCGGCTCTCAAGGAGGCTGTTCATAAACCCCTCATCTGTGTCCCAGTCGAGCACCATGGAATGAACCCATAAGGAAAGGCAGAACATGCAGTAACGTGCCACATCCCAAACAACTCTGGGAAGAGACAAAAAAAGAACACCTGTACACTGCAATTATGGAATCACAGAATCATCAAGGCCAAAAGAGACCTTTAAGATCATCCAGTCCAACCATCAACTGAGTACTACCACTGTAACCCCTAAACCACTAAACCCCATCACCCAGCAGCAGATCCAGACGCCTCTCAAACACCTCCAGGGATGGTGACTCCAACCTATTCCAATGCCTGACCCTAAAAGTGAAGAAGTTTTATAGAAAACATGACTGTGTGGCCAAGGACTACAGGCTGAACACTTTAGGTGTGAACCTGAACTCTCTTCTCCGCCAATCTCTCTACACAACCCTGGGCGCAGACTGACCACATCCAGTTCTGTGAGACGCGTCCAGCCAGCCAGGAGCCAGGCGCGGGTAGAGCTCCCTCTCCAGAAGCTCCGGGAGGCGACAAGCACAGAACGGGGAAGAGAAGCGCTGCCCCTTTCCCCACCACGCGGGCTGAGGACGCAGGAAAACAAGAGACGCCCCCTCCAAGCGCCCAGATACATCACCCCGCCCGCCGCCCGCGCTTTACGGCCCAGCGCGTTTTGCGACGCCCAAGATGGCCGCCCCCAGGGCAAAATGAACCCGCTCCGGCCGCCGCCGGGGGGAACGCGGGCTAGGGCCGGCTGGGATATAGCCGGGTCGCTTCTTCGCGAGGGACACTCGTCCGTGCCCGCTCGGCGTGCGGGGCCCTGTCGGGGCTCGTAGCTGGAGAGCGGAGACTCCCCGGGGAGGCGGTATGTGGGGCGCCCTGCTGCGGAGCGGGGTCCGTGGCACCGGCGGGCTGCGGTCCATGTCGTCGGGCGGCCCGCCCTGGAGCCAAGTGGTGTCAGAGGCCGAGAAGATCGTGGGCTACCCGACATCCTTCATGAGCCTGCGGTGCCTGCTGAGCGACGAGCTCAGCAACATCGCCATGCAGGTCCGCAAGCTGGTGGGCACCAAGCACCCGCTGCTCGACACCGCCCGGTAAGTGCCGGGGGAAGCCGGGGGGCTCGGCGGGGCCGGGGCCGCCCGCAGCCCTGGGAGGCTTGTCAAAACTCTGGGGAAGTTCTGGGCTCCGCTCGCTGTCGGGAGTCGGCGGTCGGTATCGCCGCACGGCGCCCGGAGCCGGGGCCGTGACTGGGATGTCCCTGGGGACGCGCTGTCCTGGGGCCGTGAGGTTTCGCCTCCGCTCCGGGATCCTCCTTTCCCTACCGCAACAGGTTTTCCCTGCGATTATACGCTGTCATTCGGAAGTTGCTTCGTTGTGACGCCACGTGCAATGCTTCCCCATGCGGTGCAAAAAAACCCCAAACAGTTGTGTTTTTTTTTTTTTTTTTTTGTTTTTTTTTTTTTTTTTTTTTTTGTTTTTGTTTTTTTTTTTTTTTTTTTTTTGTTTTTGTTTTTTTTTTTAATATGAAGAACTATATGGCAAGGAAAACGGTGGAAAAAAGCGGGGGAACTACACAGCTTAAAAACTCAAAATGGCACTACTCTGAACTGTGTATTTTGTTACCAAGAGCTTTAGGAAGCATTCTCTGTTTTGGAATATGCAGCTGGGAGCTGCGAGTTTTTTATGTTGTTGAGAATTTTAGGGTTGTTAAGCTCTTTATCCACTCTTTCAGTTTTTAAGGCAAACTAATGGAAGACTTGCATTCCTGCCGATAAGCAGAAACGGGGATTGTTGAGCAGCGTTTTCTTTGACTGTAAAATAAGAACTGAATGGCGGTGGGGTTTTTTATATATACAATAAAACTCCAGAAGCTTACCAAAATGAAGAGAAAAAAAGAAGTGCAATTTTCCAAGGGCTTTTTGGTTGTGGATTTGAGTGTTTTTATTGTTTTTTTGGTGTTTTTTGTTTGATAGAACTGTGTTTGCTATAACTGCAAGTATAGTAACATTAATAGAATCCAAGTTCAGTATGCGTAGTATTTTTAAACAGGTGTAAGAGGAAAATTAGCATTTGTTTAAAACAGATGTTCTGCTTTTCTTTTAAAGAACAGAAATTGTAGCTGTGTAGTGGTCCTTAGCAACTCCACAATTATGGTGTAATAATATAACAACAAGATTTGTTTTCCAAGCTCTTTGTCTCTTAGTCTGGTTGTTTTGAGTGAAGAGAATGAGTACAGGGGACTAACATAGCATTTTTAAAGAAACATGATTTTCAGCAAGGGTGATTTATATATTTAAGTAGACTTTTCTGGAAGAAACAAATCAACTTGTCAGTAAAAAATGGAAAATACCTGACTTTAGAAAATGCCGGTGGAGGGGATTTGTTGAATTGTTTATAAATGGAGGTTGTGATATTATGATAAAGAGGAGGGACAAGAGAAAAATGTTTTTCTGTCTTTGTGAGGTCAGTTGATGGAATTAAGGGAATAGGAGGACCAAAGCACAATGCATTTGGGCTCTTAAGTTTCCACCGCAGTCATAGAAGTATCATAGAGATCTACAGTGCTAAAGTGAAACGTCAATGTTAGCTTTAGAGTGTCTGTTCAATGTGTGGTAGTTGCTGGTTTATTTGTGAATTAAATTTAAATGCAGCATTTTGGGGACTGGTGGGAAGTTTTGGGGTGGAGCTGTGATGTAAGAGTTTGTTGGTAGGGTTTTTTTTTGTTATTTTAAGTGGGCTACTTCAGGCTTAATTCTATAAGCCTGTGGCTTGTGGGACACCAGTAGGAATATAGTCATGCCCAGGGTCAGCAGGATTAAATCCATTAATTTTTAAAATTCATATATGTTGCAGAGTACCCTACTGACTAACCTGATGTGTCATGCTGGAAACAAAAAGTATTTACTCACATAAAACTGAAACCCTTTACCCTTCCTTTGAATGTTCTTATTTGCTTCGCTGGTATTTCCAAAGGCTTTGATGCAGTTGCATTTCCAATGGCCTTGACCTTTGTATTATAAGAAGAGTTAATGTCCTGCTGACAAGTTGTGGTACACCGATAGCAATGCACAAATTGTTGCCTCATTCACCTTGTTTTATGGTGTGATTTTGCAATAAGGCAAAATTTGACCTTGTTCTTTTTTAATAATCTTGATAATATATTTCTGAAATTTAAGTGTTGTATGTTTGAATGAAAACATGAGTGATTTTAGTTTTGGGTCTGAGATCTGTCCTCTAGGTTACTACAGCAATTTAGGAAACAGCTCTTGATTTTTCAATACTAGGATTTTTTCAATACTTTTAAATCTCTGGCTCATTACTTATGCTTAAAAAGTAACATAGGTTTCCTGTTGTGTGTTCAGACAAACGTTTTAAAGCATGGATATCTGAAATATTTGGTGATTTTTTTTTTTTAAATACTTAAGTGATTGATACGTTCTGCAAATCTAATCTTGGAGACTGTGAGTACATACTGCATACGTCTGATAAGTACTCCAACA